CTCAAAAACTGTTAGTCATGGGAACTTAAATATGGATCCCAGAAAAAGTAAAACAAGGATTGGAACATGAAAGCTGGTCTACACATGAAGTGGCACTTTTAATTCCCCATTTTTCTTACTGTACAGCAAGTCTGTTTACGGACCCACTCATTTCAGAGTATCAGCATCCCACTTTGGGTTAGACCAAATAACTTACCTATTAAAATATGTAGTTTACCTACTGAATGCAAATCAAAGTAGGATACTTAGTTTAAAATAAGTCCACGCAGACTTGCACTACAATAACAGAAGATGTGAACTGAAAATGATTTCAACGTATAAATGTGGCCCAAATAACAATCCCTTCCCTCCAAATTGTTTAAGGTTCTCTCTTGGCCCCTCTAGCAACATTAGTTCACAAGCTTTTTGGACGTTACAGAACCTTAGGCTGAATACAAATTTAATTTCTAAAGAGATAGCTAAGCAGGAAAAAAAATCCCAAACCCTCCCTGGCTGCCTTTATATGCGAGAGGAGCAAGCACTTATCTCCTCCTCCCAATGCTTATGAAGAATCACCATACAAAACTGCAATTGCATGTTGTAGCTCTTTGTTCCCCTCCAGGGGACGGAAGACAGTAAGCTTTATCACTAGCTTTGGACTAACAGAGCTTAGTCTTTAGAGCAAGTAATAGAGGTTCATACTTTTCCACACTGAGTTTCTGAGCTCAGTCTCTGCGGCCAAGAATCTGTTTTGGGTATCGCATTGTATTCCCACACTGGTATGAAAGCAGACCCTTGGAGAGGCATGAAGACCATGAAAAGTTAAAATGTTATAATCACAGATTTAAATAGCCCAGAGAGAGGCAACTGGAGCATCAGGAAAAATCAGAATAAAGACAGGATATAGAGCAACAACCAATACTAAGGGGAAAAATTAAAATGATTTTCTACAAATAATATATCTTAAAATGTTGCTATATAAGCTGTGGGTTCTGAAGAGCAAGGCTCCTGCCCTTTGAATGGACTGGGGTGCATGCAGATACATCTTTGAAAAATCCTCCCCCGCCAAGTCCAGGTCTTCTTTAGGGCTAAGTACAGACAGTCAAAAAGACTGGGGCAGAACTGATTCAATCTTCACAGGTTAGATGTAGATGGAACCAAGAAGCAAGTGAACAGACATTCATTTTGATTTTGGAAATGCCACACATCTGCAGTGGCCCAGGCCAGAAGCCAGGGGGAACCAGAGCCTGCCTCCCACCTCTGCTGGAGCAGATGGCTTGAATCTGGAGGAAAGCTGAACGCTGAATTGATTCAATCTTTGCAGGCGAGTCTAAACTGTGTAGACTGAACTGCCAAGTAAGTGAACAGACATTCACTTTTGATTCCAGAAATGCAGCCACAGGCCTGCAGTGGCCCAGGCCAGAAGTTGGGGGGTGCTAGAGCATGTTTCCCTGCTCAGCTGGAGCAGACAGCTTGGGCCAAAGCTAGCCCGATCACCCTGCAGGGAACTGGGGGTTTGCAGAGGAGTTACAAAGCATCCTGTCGAGGAACTGTGAGTTAACTTGCATGTGGAGGGGATCCGGGACAGAAGGTCAATAAACCAATGTAACCTAAATCAGTTAAGTCTGATACTAGATCTATCTAGGTATATCTTGAACTAGTTTAATCCATTTAAAAAGTGGTTTATGTGCACTGAACTTCTGTTGTGTTACAGATCTGAACCTGTTTCCAATCTCTTATATCAGTTTGTGTGTCATTTCTGTCCGTAGCCAGGGAGGCAGGTGAAGAAAAAGAGCTTTTTGTGGAAGACTCATTAAAATATTGGCAGCATCTCATTGGTCTAGGTTTGCTTAACAGACTGTAAGTGACAGTGCAGTTATTTAAAACCCTAATATACCTGCCTTTGTCACAGTTGTATTTTTTAGTCTTGTGCTTTTTCTCTAGTAGCTTGAGAAATATTTATCCCGGTCATCCATATCTGAAAATGACATAAGAGGAGAAAACAAGAGGAAGGAAATATATGGGCATGATAGGATGTCTTCTGTAGGGGCAAAGTGGGTAAGCATTTGTAAGAATTTCTGTGACTCTTTAGACTTGCTGTCTTTTTAAAGAGCCATGTTCAGTCTCCATCTAAAAGCTGAATGATCTGGTTGAAAACTGTAGGTCTTCGTTAATATGACTTTAGACATGCACAGACTGATCACTGCTTTCAAGAATGAGGTGCTAGAAAGCATCATTAGTATTTATGAAGAGCTTTACTCTCCTCTTAGGCTTTACCTATATTGCAAAGCAGCAGTTCGTTTTAAACCGTGTTCTAGTAGAAATTAGTATGGATAAGAACAAAACCTTTGTTGCTGTCTGTGTTTAAACCTTAAATAATACTTTGCACTTTATCACTTAAGGATTTTTCTGTACAACTAATGTAAACATGCTAAAATAGGATTACAAATAAAGGGCTGTTTTGGCACTATCATTCCTAATCCTATTTTAGCATGTTAAATACTGTGACTGTAAACCATTACAAGTCCTCATAAAAGTGCTAAAGAAATTCAGTATTAACTTCTGCAGGCCACTGCATTTCTTCTGACGTGAACTTCACAAAGTCTTTGCACTGAGGCTTGTTAAGCAAATCAAGCAGTTGAGAGGCCTATTTAACTGACCCAGCACTAGCTTTTCTTCCTCTCAGTAGATGTGCCAGGCAGTTAATATGAGCTCCAGATTTCAGACATATTTCGATAGGGGGTTTTTGTTTCCTGTGATGGGAGCTAGCAACAAAGTTGAATCTGGTCTCAAGACTTCATTATGCTCAGAAAGGGGGTCAAGCTGAGTAACAGCTCAATTTATTACAAAGCGTGAGGTTTTCAGGGGGTGTCAGAGGCCACTGATCCACTAGTAGGCTTTAAAGTAAATGCAGTTAGAAGGATAGAACAGATTTTATTGTAAATTTTGTGATTGCTAGCCTTCTAATCTTTTCTTGTTTCTTCGTGAATGTAGTATGAAGACAAGATATCAAATAAAAGATATCAAATTCACCCAAGGAATCTTGTCTCCATATGAAGACAAGTGCATCTTTTAAACATATGGATTAAATGGGAAATGTGGGTTCCTTTGATGTTAGAAGTTAGACACAATGCAAAGAAGCCAAAATTTCAGTAAATGTGCCCTACTTCCAGCTCTCAACGAAATCTGTGCAGCATCAGGGATGTCCCAACTGAGAGGTATACACACACACACACCTGCAGGTTGGATCCTGCCCACAGTCATGTCATCCAGGGCTTCTGGAGGGGCCAGGATTTAGGCAGTGGGGCATATGGTAGTGGTGATAACCCCCAAGGCTTCCTGAGCTAACACAACAGCTCAGGGAGCTATGTGGGTTGGTACCACTGTCACTCACCCTGATGGTGAAACCTGAGGTACAGACCCTATCAGGGACTCATTTGGTACCAGAGGTGGGTCAGAATCTGGCCAATAAGGCCAAGTGCAATTGCCACCCCTGTCCTAAGCTTTTCCCAGACAACTCCAAGACAATATGCCACTGCCAAGTAACCAAACTAGAAAACACATTTCAGCTGGCATGCAAACATCTTTATCAAGCATTCTGCTTCATTTCAGAACTCCCACATCAACTGCCTGAGCAAGCACCACTGCATTTGAATTTGGGCAAGATTTACTCAGGCCAGATATACAAGTATATTAAGAAAGTTGGGAGAAATATTTCAGAGGTTTCCAAAACTTTCTGTAGAATTCTAGAGGAAGGAAAAAAAGAATTATTTAAAAACAAACAAACCCTCACAACCTACATTTAGCACCACATCTCAACAGGTTTGAAGAGTTATGGAACTGCCTAAAGAACATGGGCACCTGGTGCCTCCCGAGTGTGGGGGGAGGCACCAGATCGCTGACGGGGTGGGGGTGGGGGTTTCCGGCGGCCGATCGCCGATGGGGGGAGGAGTGGGGGGTCCCCTGGAGGCCAATTGCCAAGCCAGCGGCAAAACCAGAAGTACACTTCCAGTAGCACTTCCAGTTTCATGGCTGAGTTTCCAGGAGGTGCACAGCCGATCTCAGGGGTGCACTCCCTATGCGTCGCTGATGCTAAGGAACCTGAAAAATCCAAAGGGTATATTTCTTGATTTCTCTGCCAAAAAGTGGTGCAAGCCCCGTGCTGGAGAAGAGGCTGAAAGAATCATTCTACTCCAAACTCTCATTTTTATCCCCTTTGTTCAGAGCAGCTGTAATTTCACTAGCCTACAGAGAAACCATGTTGTCTGTGGTTCAATTAACTCATTAATTCTGAGCAAAA